TATTGTGGTATTTGGATAGCTCATTATTTTGCTTAATTAATAATTCATTATTATTTTGCTTAACTAATATTCAAGATTGATTATTAGAAGTGAATCCATGCATCGTAGGTGCGACCATTTATGGGAATAATTAGTATTATTTTACTTTTAAATTAGTTTAAATTTTCTATTTTAGTTGCTCTTTCAATTTCTTGAAAAATGCTAATCACAGAAAAAAAGTTGAAAAAAAAATATTTTATTTTAGATAGTGCTACTAAATTGTAAATTAAATTTTTTTTGTCCAACTATCTGCTTCTCTTTCTTGGTAGCTTCGAGAGCATGACATCCACAAATATTTCAATTAGTCATCTAGTTGTGCAAGGAACACAATTCTATACTTCAATTCTAAGTTAACAATCCATCCAACCTAAACTTTTTACTTTTTGAAAATATGACACTAAATAGGACACAATGGAGAAAAAGAATTCATGTAGCCGACCCCACTAAGTGAGATAAATGCTTCTTTTTATTGTTGAAACACTTGACTGTTATACAATTTTGTAGTTTTTACTTGTGGAAGTAACAGCTTTGATTTTTTTATGAAGATATTCTTACAAATTATATTTAATTGGTTAGCTAACTTTTTAAATCTTTGTATGTTCCAACTTGTTTATTAATAAAACAGACCTAAATGGGCAGGATCGATTAAATTTCAATTCGAGTTAGCCATTTTAAATTTGATTCGAACTTGATGAGCCTAAAAAGGTTCCAATGTACTATAAAAAATATTTAACCCCAATATATAAGATACATATAATGATATAAACAAGGCAAATATGATAATTACAAATAAAAATGTATATTTATAGGCAGACACAAGCAATTTAATTCAAAATTAGAATAGCTTGATTTGATCCAAGTCTGATGCAAGAACGTATGAGGTCTCTTGATCCCATGTCTACAAGAAGCACGACATTCGGTTCTTGCAATTAGGCAGAACTGCACAGAACTCCTTTTTGTTTATTCTTTTTCTAATTTTCAACATATTCCTTTTATCGTTCTTCTTTTCTAGCACATTCCTATTTTATTATTTTCCAATTAGGAATTTTGCTTCGAGGAGACTTCTATATATATGGTTTGGACTTCTAATTTTGTTGTGTTTTGTTTCAGGGTAGCCATCGGCGTTTGTTATCCCTCTACGAGTTGTATCGTAGGGTTTCAAATGGTACTTTGGTTGTATCTTATTCTTGGTGTTTATCCTCTTCTACACTTCTTCCACTTTTGCCACATCGATTTCCTCCATCCTCACTGCTGTCCCCCTTTGCTGCCGCCCCTAGAAAAATGGCAACATTGTTGTTTTCCCTCAGCCCTGTTGCCACCCAGCACCCGGTCCTGCCATTCAACAACCCCTGCCCCCTCTTACAACTTGTTGTTGACATCTAAAAATTACCATTTTGCCCTCAAACTGGCTACCATCCCACCCTATAACCAGCGGTTTCCCCTTCCAGCTTGTTAGCAGCCTCCTAACCATTATTCTAGGAAGTCCAACCCATAGCCAGCACCATATCCACCCTGTTCCAACCCAAGTTCTAGCGTTTATTTTCACATTGCTTTGTTATAATTTCAAATTTAAATCTAGAAATAATATTTGTTTTTCATTGGACAACCCATAGCCAGCACCATCTCCACCCTGTTCCAACCCAAGTTCTAGCATTTATTTTCACATTGCTTTGTTATAATTTCAGATTTAAATCTAGAAATAATATTTGTTTTTCATTGGATATTCGTCATATTCTAGTATCATTTGGTATCAGAGCTATCCCAAGCGTAAATCCATCCTAGGGTTACCAAAATCCAACTTTTTTTTTTTTGCATCCTAAATCAGCCCCCTACACCCTCTTTCACCTCCCAAACCTATGTCCTAGCCAAGTGTTGAAAACCAATCAGAAACTTACCATGAAAGAGATTCGGTGGAAAATACTCCTACGTCAACAAAGACTTCCTGAAATTAAGGAAGGAACCCATTTAGAGATCATTGTTGATTGTGATAGTGAGATTCGAAGAGGAGAGAGGGAGAAAAACTTGAATCCCTTCCATAGGGATGATTCCAGTGAAGAGGATAGGCCACGGAGCTTTGGAATTTAGCATCAAAAGAGGCCGATGGATAGATTGACTTTTGGAGGGCATCAAGATATGGGAGTAAATGTAGACTTACTAGATTTTGAGGGGAGAATTAATCTGGATAACTTCATTAAGTGGTTGCAGACTGTTGAGAGGATGTTGTAGTATAAGGTTTCAGCTAATATGAGAGTAAAGCTTGTTGCCATGAAGTTGAAGCAAAGTCTCTCTTTACGGTGGGTGCATATGAAGAGAGTGAGGCGAAGAGAATGTATGAACAAGATCAAGAAGGAAATGCAGAGAAACTATCTACCGCCACACTGCCGTCAGGGTGTGCTCTTAGGATGCATCACTTACATCAGAGGGAGTTGTCGATAGAGAAGTTTATGGCAAAGTTTGAGCATGTTGAAATATGAGCTGAGGGAGCCAAAGGAGAATACCATAGCCAGGTATTTTGGAGGACTGAAGTCAGCCATCAGCCATGTCGTTCAGTTACAACCTTATTGGTCATTAAGTGATATTCAAACATTGTTCATAAAAGTGGAAAAATAACAAAAATAGATCAAGATCCCTCTGTTATTCAGATAGCCATTCACAGTATGAGGTGCCAGTACGAGCAAATCTGAGGTGTGAAAACTATCCAGAAAGATGATGGAGCTTATTAGAGTGGACAAAAGCCCAAGAGTGGTACACCCAACATGGTGGCCATAAGGCAGTGTCAAATGTCATTGGTTCAAACATATCGCCTCTAGTTGCTCTACTATCAGAGTTATCTCTTTGACTGAGCAGGGAGTCATAAAAGAAATGAACAATGGTACTGGAGACATAGAAGATAGTGAGGATTTGCAGGACCAACTTCAAGCTGATGAGGGTGAGAAACTTATGGTTCAACAGGTCCTTCACATTAAATTTACGAGAGCAGTAATAGCTTCACCACAACATCTTGTATGCCAATTGCACTGTGAAGAGAAATGTGCGCAACATTATCATCGATGGAGGTAGTTATAAAAATGTGATATCTATACAGATGGTGGATAAGTTGAGTTTTGCTACTTAGAAATATTCCCAATCATATTCTCTGATTTGGTTGAGAAAGGGGAATAGGGTTAGCATTGATAGGAGATGTCTCCTAGAGTTTTTTGTTAAAGATCAGTTACATGACCTAGTGTGATGTGATGTTGTACCCATGGATGCCTATCAGTTCCTGTTGGGGAGACCATGATAGTTTGATCACAAGACTCAGCATAATGGATTCAAAAACTTTTACTCCTTCAACAAAGAATCACATAATTGTCCTACCTTCTGCAAAGTCTGGGGTTATAAGTGCTCTTGCCATGAGAAAGGCACCAGTGGAATTAGTTTTGATGATGTTAGAGGGCAGTGAACCAGAAGAGCCAATATTAGACACAAGACAGCCACAATAAAGAGATTTTCATGATATCCTAATCAACGACTTACGACCAAGGCTACCACGTTACGGGAGGTTCAGACTGCCTTCACTTCAGAAATAGACACAAGACAGCCACAATAAAGAGAGTTTCATGATATCCTAATCAACGACTTACGGCCAAGGCTACCACCGTTACGGGAGGTTCAGACTGCCTTCACTTCAGAAAGGAATGAGCCAACTTGAAGTTAATTTTAGAGGACTTTGAAGAGTACACTTGCACGAAATTCCAGCTCGGTTTAGTAATGTACCTACAAATAGTTGGACAGATAGAGATAGTTATTAGCATTTCGAGAAACTTTCTCAAGTGTTCTAAGGGATTGTGCATCCAACAATGGATCCAGATGCTTAGTTACTCGAATTTCGAGAAACTTTCCCAGGTGTTCAGGAGAATAGTGTATCCGACGGTGGAATCCAAGTGATTCTAGAGATGCAGTCGAAGACCCTCCAATCCCAAAAGGTTATGACCGCTCCGCTACTTCAATGTTGTTGCCTTTATGCTATATTATGAGAAGTCAGAAGCTTCAACAAATGAGGTCAAAGCTCCAACAACCCCGCTAGACTAATGCAGGAGTGTACAGGGTCTTGTGGCCCCGTGTTTGCCAGGAACACAGCATCCGATTCCTGCGATTGGAGAAAAACTGAACTGAACACCTTTAATTTTATTTTCTTTCTAATTTTCACATGTTTCATTTATCCTTCTTTCCTTTCTAATCCTTTATTATTTTCTTATTTTCCAATTATGCATTTTGCTTCTCTGAAACTTCTAAATTTATGTTGACTAGGGTTTGGACTTTTAGTTTTGTTGTTTTTAGTTCCGAAACATTTGTCGGTGCCTCTTTTTCCTTTACACGGGTTGTACATCATCCAAGTGGTGCTCCAGTTGTATCTTGGTCTCTAGGTGGAGCTTATTTTCTTCTACCCTTCCCCCACTCTTGCCTATATTGATTCCCTCCAAACTCGTCATTATCCCCCTTGCTTCCGCCAAAGAAAAACAGCCACATTGCTGGTTTCCCTCAGCCCTGCTGCCACCAAGCCCCAGGTCCCATCATTCCTGACATTCTTCGTCTTCCAGCTTGCTGCGGTCACCCAGAAATTACTGTTTTCCCCTCAACCAGCTGCCATCCCACCCCAGTACCAGCAGTTTCCCCTACCAGCTTGCTAGCCGTCTCCTACCCATCAACCCGGGTGGTCCAAACCCTTAACCGGTACCACCTTACCCTAGATCAAGCCCATGTTCTAGTGTTGTGTGTTGTTTCATTGCAATTTCAGATTTTCATGTTTCTTTGTTGTATGTTCAGATTTGAATCCATTAATAATATTTGCTTCCCATTCGATGTTTGTTAAATTCCGGTATCAAGTCCTAGCTTAATTCAAGTTCAAGTTGTGATTGACTTGTTGGATGACTCATTGATTTTATCTGGATTTAATTGGATAAAAAACAGTCAGATTTTCTAGCGATCCTTAGCCATTCAGTTGGATTCACAGCCCTAATGCTAAATATGGGTTTGAAGATTTATGCATGCAACTAATGTAATAACTTGGCACAGAAAGAAAGAGAATTACCCTTTCTAGAATTCCTGATTGGACGTCTGGCTGAAACCTGCGCATATTCTTAAGCATTTCCAATTGCTACAACGTATTTAATGGTGAGTCAGTTTTGTTAACAATGTGCTTTCTTAATAAAAAATGGGAATGTAAATACCTGCTCGTGAAGCTTGTGTTGATGGTGCATTTTATCCACAAACTCACCTGGCTTGAGTTCAGCCTCATCAATGGCCATCTCTTCCCTGTCAGTTTCGCTAAACAATGAATTTACTTTCATATGACAATTTGTAGTGTGCTATGCTGCAAAACTAAGGCAAAAAGGATATATGAAGAACTAAAAAACACATTTTTACCAGAACACTAAGAAATAACAAAATCTGAAGTGGGAATCTGTCACAATATTTTCCAGCAAAATTAAGCTTCTTAGAGATTTTGAAGCAAGTTCACTATGGAAAAAGATATATGGTTTGATTCCGCTCTCTTTCTATTTCAAAGTTTTTATATATTTAGATTTAATTACCTGATATTTATGCAGAATAACCACTACTATGACATCAATAGATGTAGTTTGTCCAGCCGTGAGAAAACACTTCTTCCCTTTCTTCTATCATGTCTGAAAATACAAATGATTCTGCTACCTCCACTCAGCCCTCCACCCTGCCGTCTGATTCCACACGACTCTCCTCTAGAACCACCGAAAATCATCCAGCCCAGATCACCACAATCTGGCTCAATGGTGACAATTTTCTATACTGGTCACAATCGGTGAGAATTTACATTAGAGGAAGAGGGAAGATAGGCTACCTAACAGGGGAAGTCCGTGAGCCAGCCACTACAGATCCATCCCACGCAACCTGGGATGCAAAAAATTCCATGATAAAGACCTGGTTGGTGAACTCAATGGAAGAGGAGATAGGCGCAAACTGCATATGTTATTCTACTGCCAAAGAACTCTGGGAGAATGTGGCCCAAATGTATTTGGATATGGATAACCAATCACAGGTTTATGAACTTTTCCTGAAACTTGGTGATAATAGTCAAGGTAATGATTTTGTCACAAAATATTTTAATTTTTTGAAGAGAATATGGCAAGACCTAGACTTATTTAACGATCAAGAGTGGAAGTGTCCTGACGATGCTAGTAGGTATAAGAACATTGTTGATGCAAATAGAATTTTTAAATTTCTTGCTGGTCTTAATGGGGATTTTGACGAGGTAAGGGGTAGAATTACTGGGAGAAGTCCCCTACCTTCAATCCATGAGGCTTTCTCGGAAGTACACCATGAAGAAACTCAAAGAAGAGTAATGCTCAACAAGAAACCCACTCCTACCAGCATACCTGAGACCTTGGCATTCAATTCTGAAGTTCATATCAACAAGTGGAATGCTCCACATCCACAAAAGTATGAGGAGAAAACTTGGGTGTTGTGTGATCATTGCAACAGGCCACGACACACTAGAGAAACCTGTTGGTATCTAGATAGGAAACCTGCATATTGGAAGCTACGGAACAAGCGCCAGGCACCTACCGCAAACACAGCCGCACACTGCCGCTGAACAGATCAGCCCATTTAGCAAGGAACAAATCGATCAATTTCTGAGTCTGCTAAACCCCAATTCGGCTACTGGTACTCCACATTGTTCCCTGGTACATGCAGGTAGAAAATTAAACATTTGGATTATTGATTCCGGAGCTTCTAATCATATGCCAAATTTACACCAATTATTTTATTCATATAACCCATGTTCTGGCCATAAAAAAGTTCGTATTGCTGACGGTAGTTTCTCTTCTATTGGTGAAAAAGGAAACATTAACCTGCCCAAGAATATAGGTCTTAAATCTATACTCCACATTTTGTGAATCTTCTTGTGTCTTTCAGGACCAGAAGTCGGGGATGATGATTGAGAAAGCTAAAGAGACAGAAGAACCTTACTACTTTGCGAACACTATTCCTAATAATAAAAAGTTCAAGCTTACAACACTATGAGTTTGAACCCTGCATTAGAAAAAAAAATGGAATGACATCTTAGATTAGGTCATCCAAGTTTTCCTTATTCAAGACATTTATTTACTCATATGTTTAAGGGTGTTAATTGCGTCTTACTTCAATGTGAAACTTGTTCTTTGACAATAAGTCATCGAATAAATTTTGCTCCAAAACCATACTATCCTTCAAAACCCCTTTTTCATGATCCATAGTGATGTTTGGGGATCTTCAAAAATCAAAACATTATCTGGGAAAAAGAGTTTTGTGACTTTTAATGATGATCACACCAGAATATGTTGGGTTTATCTTATAAGCAAGAAATCAGAAGTTGAAAAACTCTTAAGTTGAAAAACTCTTTCAAGATTACTCTTTCAAGATTTTTACAACAAGATTGAAACTCAATTCGAAATATAAATATGCATCCTTAAAACAGGCAATGGAACTGAATACTTTAATGAATGTTTAGGGGAGTTTTTAATAAACAAAGGTAGAATTCATCAATCCACATGTCGTAACACTCTATATCAAAATGAAATTATTGAAAGAAAAAATAGACATTTACTTGAGGTTGTTCTGGCTATTATGTTTTCAATGAACATTCCTAACTATTTATGGGGGACGCCATTTTAACAACATCATATTTAATAAATCAAATGTCCGCTCGAGTTTTACAATATACAAATCCTCTAAACAAACTGACAAACAGTTTTTCAATTCCACGAATGTCTTCAAATATTCCTTTTAAATCTTTGAATGCACATTTTTGTTCATCTTCCAAATAAATTTCGATCAAAATTGGATCTAAAATCTGAAAAATACATTTTTCTTGGATATGCTTCAAACAAAAGAGATTACAAATGTTTTAACTCTGTCACAAAAAAAAACCTACATTAGTATGAATGTGATCTTCATGGAAAAAATTAATTTTTTTCACAAAAATTCCACTTCAAGGGGAGCATAATACAAATAGAGATGATTTTTGGCACATTTCTGATCCACTACCTAACATGAAATACACCTGAAGTTTTTAATAAAAATGAATCGAAAATAGTCATTGAAAGTAATAAAAACCAGAAGAATCCTAGTCAAAAGACACCAGAAATTATCTTACCCGAAACAGGGGGAGAAATACTGCAGCATAAGATAACAGAAACTCTGGTTTATTCCAGGAAAAGACTTCATAAAAGGAAAAATGTTCAAATTGAATCTTTAGTTCCCTCCCAATCCAAAGAACCGAATGATGGTCCTCAAGAAACACAAGTAATTTCCAATCATGACCTTATTTTTTCATCAACAAAAGCTCAAGATTCAGAGGTTATGAATCTGGTCTTCCTATAGCCTTTAGAAAAGGAACACGTTCTTGTACGATTAAACATCTCATTACAAAATATCTATCCTACAAAACAATCTCACAAACAATAAGTTTTTTTGTCAAAAATTTATAATTTGTCTGAACCCAAAACAATACAGGAAGCACATAGTAATTCGAATTGGAGAATAGCAGTAAAGAAAAAGATGGATACTCTGTTAAAAAATGAAACCTGGGAAGTTGTCACTTTGCCAAGAGACAAGTCTACTATTGGTTGTAAATGGGTCTTCACTGTTAAAGTCAAAACTGATGGGAGTGTCAAAAGATATAAAGCATGACTGGTAGCGAAAGGATTCACTTAGACTCAAGGAATTGACTATCAAGAGACATTTTCTCCAGTAGCCAAGATAAATTCTATTCGTGTTCTACTGTCCATAGCAGCAAATCGTGATTGGTCCTTACATTAGCTCGACGTTAAAAATGCCTTTCTAAACAGTGAATTAGAGGAGGTATTCATGGATCTTCCACCAAGATTTGAGAAGAAGTTTGGAGAAGACAAGGTGTGCATATTGAAGAAATCCTTGTATGGGCTCAAGCAATCTCCTCGCGCCTGATTTAAAAAGTTCGGAAAGGTGATTAAAAAATACGGATATACTCAAAGTGAAGTTGATCATACTATTTTCTACAAACAATCAGAAACTGGTAAACTTGATATACTTATTGTCTATGTCGATGATATTATTCTTTCAGGAGATGATGCTAGAGAAATTGAGACATTAAAAGAAAGATTGATCATAGAATTCGAGATTAAAAATCTTGGGTCGGTAAAGTATTTTCTTGGTATTGAATTTGCCAGATCAAATGAGGGGGTTTTTATTAATCAGCAGAAGTATGTACTCGACTTGCTCAGTGAAACTGAAATGCTTGGGTGCAAAGAAGCTGAAATTTCGATTGAACCAAATAAAAAACTACAAGTGACAAATGAAATAGATGGTGTTAATAAAGAACAATATCAGAGACTGATGAGAAGGCTAATCTACCTTTCACACACTCGTCCTGATATAGCTTTCACTGTTAGTATTGTAAGTCAGTTTATGAAATCTCCAAACCCTCATCACTTGGAGGCTGTGTATTGGATCCTTAGGTATCAGAAAGGAACGTCTGGAAGAGGACTATTGTTCAAGAAAAATAAATATTTACAGATAAAAGCATTTACAGACTCAAATTGGGCTGAGAGTATTACAAACAGAAGGTCAACCTCAGGGTATTGTACGTTTCTAGGAGAAAACTTAGTAACCTGGAGGAGAAAGAAGCAAGGTGTCGTGGCAAGAAGCAGTGTTGAAGCTGAATTGAGATATGTGGCTCATGGGATATGTGAAGTTCTATGGATTAGAAGAATTCTTAAGGAATTAAAAATTCATAGTCCACCATCAATGAAGGTGTACTGTGATAATAAGTCTGCAATCGCCATCACCCACAATCCTGTTCTTTATGATCGAACAAAGCACGTAGAGATAGACACCCACAATCTTGTTCTTTATGATCGAACAAAGCACGTAGAGATAGACAAACAGTTTATCAAAGAAAAAATTGACAAAGGAGATATCTGCATGGTGTACATTTCTCCCCACAACCAAGCAGCAGATAGTCTAACGAAAGGTCTTCACAAGAGACAGTTCAACAGTTTAGTGTGCAAGTTGACGCTAAAGGATATTTTCATGCCAACTTGAGGGAGAGTGTTGAAAATTCAAATTGATTTATAGCATTAATGGTTTTTTCCTTTTATAGATTAATGTGCCGCTGTACAAATCTTGCATAACTAGCTATGTAATATAATATGAAATAATTGTAAGCAATTAGTTAATTTCCTTATTTAAGATATAAGCAATTAGGTAATTTCCTTATTTAGGAGGTGGTATTTGTACCTTGTAAAGCATCAAAGTATGAAGAAAGTATT